AGAAAGTATGAGGATACACTTTACCATAAAAGCAGAAAAGCAGTTTTGTTGGAGAAAACAAATATTTCTAATGATGTTCACATCACAACGTATGAGCATCTGGAAATGGGAGGTTCAAGCACAGACTTGAAAGAGGTTGATAAAAGTGGATGTAAAAAAGACAACGGACTCAATACAAAGATGAGTGCACCGTTGGAAACAGGAGAGAGCTCCAACAGCAGCGCATTTTCATTGATTTCGTCCAATACCCAAGGAGAACTGAAAAGTGCTTTTTGCAAACCTCATAAAAGGACTACACCTCTCAATATTGCACCAACGGCGCCCTCTAGTTGTGTCGAGGAGATAGCGGATGCCGTGGCATCCTCGAGAGCCCTGATGGGATACAACTTGATGGCATCCAGTGTCTTAAACACAGAAATGCACTCCTCTTTATCCTCTGCGGCCACACTAAACAGTGCGTTTCATTACGCACCTGAGCATTGGTCCCGAAACATAGGCGCACATCTCCACCCCAAGTCATCCCCATCGTCTTCTCTCACCACCCTTCCCCCCACTTTCACCTCTTTCGGCGTTTCGGTGCAAAATTGGTGTGCCAAATGCAACTTATCCTTCCGCATGACCTCTGACCTCGTGTTTCACATGCGCTCACACCATAAGAAGGAATTTGCCGCCGAATCTCAAGTGAGAAGGAGGCGAGAGGAGAAACTTACCTGCCCCATCTGCCACGAGTACTTTCGGGAACGACATCACCTTTCTAGACATATGACCTCCCATAACTGACCACGTACCATGGACATGGACATTATTTATTCATTATTTAATCAAATTAAAGTAGAAAGTGAATGTAGTCTCTCCACTAGGGGGCGATAAAGGTACGTGTACTGTTCCTTTGCTTGCGTGAATGTGCCTTATGGAAATGTGCAGATGGACCGTGACTGCGGTAAATATCTTATCACTTCATATCGCATTTACTTTTAAACTTATTTGTGAAAGAGTTTGTTTTTGCACACCCAAACTTAAACAAAATACAAAATGAAAAGCCTTTTGTAAGTTATTGGGCTAACTAGCATCAGTATATTCACTTATTGAACTGTCTTTGCTTGGCTACTCTGGTGCTGAGTAGCTCTTTGTCCCCACTTTTTAGTCATAGCTTTATTTTGTACAAAACAATAAATAAATTTAATGGAAATGCTACTGTTATTTATTTAATAGGTTAATGTAATCATTATAGGCCTATATCTATTATTTTTATTATGCCTTTTATTATTATTAGTACCTAGACCTAGTAGGCTGGTAGCAGGTTGAGGTACTAGTAGTACTGGTCTAAAATATGAAACAAATAGGATATGGCTGTTGAAGATGCACTCTGTAACTTTTCTGGTGGAGGGTCAACCAACTGCTGTATCCATGGAGATATTATGTTTCATAGTATAGCATTAAACTCATGTCTCCATGGAGAAAAGCAGGAGATGCCACCTGGTTAAGTTACAGAGCACATGTGTGGAGAAGTGAGCTCGCGCACAGTAAGAATGTATGTTTTTGAAGGTATTTTAAGCAATGAAACACTTGTACATGCTAAATCTGTCTTAAATGTCATACTGTTTAACATTCAAGGCAAAGCAATAACATCTCCATAGAGAAACACATTGACCTTCACCAGAAAAGTGAGTAATAACTGAAAAGTCTTCATATATTTTGAATATTTAGTTTTGTAATGTTTTGTCAAAGACGTTTATAGAGCTCAGTTAGGCTACTTCTTACTTCATTTGAGTCCTACTAAAGCGTCGAGCTTGTGGCTTCATCAGTTCAGTCTTGGGGTGAATAAATAGCTTTTTCTGTTGCAGGTAATGAGGCAGGAGAAGGAAAGGTTCACGAGAAAGTCAAGTCTCTGCATCTTGAGATCTACAAAAGTAAGGACTTGTGATAGATAAAATTATGATTTATTCTATGTTGAGGGTAGTTTATGTTTTTATTTTTACTGTATTCTTGTTTGTTGCTTAGTTTGGTCTGCAGCAGCTATAGGTTAGCAATAGGCCTCTAGTCTTCACAACACCTGAAACACAAACTCCTGCTTTGACAATATTGTTATGCTCTACCATATTGTTGCGGAGGGAATAGATATATGTTGCATTTAGTTACATTTACTTTGTGTTCATATAATTATATTTTCATAACTAACAATAATGATCCCTTTAGTACACTGAATGCCTACAACAAGCAGTTCGTGTATTATGTTGTAGCCACATTAGATGATGGATGGCTAATTTTGTAGCATGCTGCTGCTGCTACTGCATTGTAACTCTGCAATAATGGTAGTATTATTTTGTCAGGCTGACTAACTTTGAGGAAAAGAGCTATTCTAGCCTGCACACTAAGAATCCTCTGTTGCCCAGTAATGGCTCTATTGCTGCCCATTAATTGAGCAGTCATTTTGTGGAAAAACAAATGTTATTCTTGGTTCCTTCCTTGACTCTTCTGGTTTTGACTTTCGGCATGGTCCTTTTGAAAATGAGCCGAGACTGCTGTGGTTTTGCTGCCTGGAATAGACCATTGTGAACAGTCTTTAGTAAAGTGTGCTTGAGGTGACAAGCATGGTTATGTGGGTGCAGCAGACTGTTACTTCATTGTGTAGTCATTGTGCAATATTTGTAAATGATAAAAAATGTAAGGGATATAATGCTCGGTTATCCTTAAATAAAATGCATGTCACAAATTACTCAGCACATTTAGGTCACAGTTTATTGCAATTCACATATCCTCCATAGTTTTATATTGTCTTTACTTTGGTCTGCACAACATCACAATCTAGATAACAGAATTTCCTCTGCAAAGAACAAAATATCCCATGTTTTTTTTTTACAGAAAACCCTTATTGTACCTGTAATTGACTATAGACCTCTACAAATGTATTCTTGTATTTGTTTGAGTCTTAAATGTTAATGATCCTGATTTCCATTGTTGTCTGGACATCCAATTTTGTTAACATAAATTGTAAATTTTATCACAGTGCTTATTTTTCCAAAGTTGTGCGGCTCTAATAAGAGGCAGTAATGCTCTTTTTGAGACTTAACAAATCATTGTGATAGGTTAAATCAATTTGTCATTCAGAGCATAACTTACTGGTGACCAATAGATGGAGTGAGTGAGCAAAAATATACGTGGCGTGTGTATTAATAAATAAGAAGCAATGAATCCAAATTGGCAGAATGTCATGGGGGCAGATCACATTTGGATTTCATCTTGCATTCTTGTTCCATTGGAGTACTAATTTACAAAAACTATTGCTTCACAGTTTAATGATCATCTTGATTAACACCAGTAGACTATACATTAACCCATTACTGACCTTTTCTAAAATATCAAACAGCATTTTTATTTAAACCTAAATCTTGCAGTGTTGTTAAATATATAGTCAGGAAGGAATGTCTGTGAATTTTTTTATTCCAACCATTTTAATGTTATCGGAGTGTTAACATTTGTCTTTTTATGACTTTTTTTTTTTTATTAAACATCTGCATTGGTGTATTAAATGTAATCCCTTCTGGGTCATAAGTCTAGTCCAGATCACCATGTTTTAGAGCCTGTCTAATAGCTACACAGTCAACTGCACACAGCCCAGTATCATACATGTCTATACATTACTGCATTTTTTTAGAAGTGGTTTCCAGAAATCCTATCGTCATTGAGACAAATTTACTGTCCAGTGTTTTGTACAGACATCAAAGCATGCGTTGTTACAAACAGATGTGGTGCTATGGGGGCCGACTGCGACTCCAGGCTAAGAACTCCAAACTAACTAAGGTTAATGATACAAAGGTACACTGTCATTTTGTTTTCATCCTCCACTTGACTGAAACCATGAATTAGATCTTTCCCTAAACATCCGTGTTAAAAGGCCATTGAAGGAGCATCCTGCACTTGAGATGTTTAACTGTGGGTCGTAGGCACCGATAAAGAGGAAGTGCATTGTGTTTTGAAGTTGGAGTGGCTCTCGTCTAATTGGCGCATAAGTCTGCTTCCTTGTGCCGCCATTAATCCGGGGCGGCCACATCGTTCGCTGGACAAGAGGCTTTGGTGTGGGGTGGTAATGGCTTCAAGGAGCTTCAGAGGAATGCTGGGTATCTTTGAGTGGGACTTTCCTGCCTTTGTACTTTTAGTGTTTTAAAAGGTTCAAAGGATTAACATAGCAAATATTGACTCAACAACAATCTTAAAATATATGGAATTAAATTATTTTATTCTAACGCAAAGACACACATTCTTTTATAATTTAAGAAACACATTTATAAAATAGAGTCTAATATAACACAGAGTAACACAGAACCTGTAACAGAACCTACAAACCGTGACACAGCTATGTCAAGTTTCACATTTAAAATAGAAAAATATTTCTGTTTGGCTTTCAACGCATTATAAGGACACATAAATGAAAGCCAGATGAATACTTCCTTTTTACACAGCACAAGACTCTTAAATAACCCCAGTCTTGCAAGCACATTACAATGGCATGTAGGTACAATCCAGCCTATCATTATCTTTAGATTAACTACAGCTGTACACAGTATGTAACAATGTAATATATGCAGTCATCTGTGAATGACTGCTGAGCTGCCCGATGACACACTGATAAAGTCTTTCATTTATAGTTTTTGTGTCCTAAGACAACATGAGTTTGAACCCGCTGTGAGCTGTTTCTGAACACTAGATCAAAGGGAAAAGCCCCTTAAATGTTGCTGTCCATGCAATTTCCAATATCGCCATAATCAAAACAACTGCTCTGAGCCATGTGTAGTCCTGAGCCTGGCCCTGTTGCTGAGACAGACCCCAGACAATGAGTCTCTCCAGGTTTGCTGCCGCGAGACCAACAAGATGGAAGTAATTTCTCTAGAGACTATAGTATGTTCCTCAAGGAAAAACATGCCCAGTTACTTCACAAAACCGCTGTAAACCACAGGTTGAGATCTGTCTCTTTTTCCTCTTCACTTGTTCTTGTCCAGCTTTTATCTGCAGGAGCAGGACTGGACTGACATATTGGGGTAGACTTTAAGCACTGGGTTGTTGGCTTCGTCCTGGTACAGCACAGGCAGCGGGCTCATCTTCTCTGGGACACAGCAGGGTTCAGGGATGCCAGGAATGATACCAACAGCTCGCACTATGCTTTGTATGGTGGCATGGTTAGACGGCCTGGTAACCTGCAAAAAGTAAATTAGTTTAGCAATAGATATTCACCTCAAATAGTAAAAAATAGTCCAGCCTATGATCTTACCTTAGATATTGGAAATCCACAGGTGCCAGCACAGTAGTAGGCTTCAAATGCCTTAGGTGCAATAACCCATTCACTCCAGCCAATATCTGCAAAATCCACTCTTAGGTTTCTTCTAGAACACGTCCTTTCATGGCTCTCGCTGGACTGCCTCCGCCGGGCTTTACGCATCGTCTTTTCATCAAAACTCAAAAGTGGAGATTCTTCAGTTGAACTTCCTTTGTGCTTCTTGTCACTGTTCCTCCTCTCATCCTTTTGTCCAGGGCTCTGTTTTGTGGACTCCTCATTATGAATTCTTACTGAGATCTTTTCTGCCTCGCTTAACAACTCTCCATCTTTACTCTGCTCCATCACCTTGTCCTTGTGATTTATCTTTTTCTTCTGTTTCTCTCCTGGTTTTAGCTTAAGTCCAAGATACCAAGAACTTTCCAGCATGTCCTCCTTCCTGTACCCATCAGGTTTGTAGCTGATGCCTGGTAGCTCATTATCCTGGATGAGGGCTCTCCGCACTCGTCCTGGAGCAGTGTTTGGTTTGTGTTGTGAGGAAAGAGAAGGGTCCCTGGCCTCCACAGAGGGGTCATATCTCTGAAGACTTGCAGCAACACTGTTAGGCTCCCCAAGCGCCTGATCATCAGCATAGACCAAAAAGTAAGGCAGATTTCCTGTGGAGAGCACCTCCGCAGGACTCCTGTGGTACTGCAACCCCATGTCAATCTCCAGTGATAGCAGGAGATGACCTCTGTCCCGTGCCTCCTTTATGACCTGAGTTAGATCTTTCATCTGCCACACCCCTCTCCTGTGGGGGTGGAAGGTTACATTGCCTAGGAGTGACCCTGTTGACCCCGAGTCGACCTCTGACCCGGAGGAGACAGAGCGAATGAGCAGGCTGACGGACATGGCTGAGGGGACGGCTGGAGAATGACATAAAGAGCTCTTGAAGCGTTTACAGAACCAGGGCTTATGAGGCTGACGCCGTTCCAGCAGGAAGTGAAATGTAACCGAAAGGATGACCTCGGAGTCCTGCAGGGTCGTGAGGTTGAGCCTGTACACCATCCTTTGATCAGAGGGCTCTGTAATGACAATAAATCAGTCAGTGTCAGGTGAACAACACACAAAGTGAGTGCATTTATCAGTGTTTTGTATTTCTACAAACTTCGTGGCAAAACTTATTTCTAACCAGGATGAAGAAACAAAAATTATCTATACCCCATGCACTGAGTATAGATTCCAACAGTACTCATGCATTGAGGTCCCTAAGGGATTTAGCCGTCAGGGGCATAGAAGGAAGCTGTGTAATCACGATATTAATTTCTACAGCAGAGTTACTGTCCATTGTGCAAAAGTGGAGTGGAAGACGACGGTATTAACCCTTTATTCCGACTGCATATGGAAAAGCTTAGTTTAGTTTAAGCTTTCTCTTAAATCTAATACAACCATCACTTTCTTCCCAGACACTAAGACATTATCAACTGTTTGAACAGATCTTACATTGTTGTGAAAGTGCTTTACATCTCGACTTGGATTACACCTCGCCTCTCCAGTAAAAATACACGCGTGTTATGATATGACATTTGAGAACTTTGTGGGATATATAAATGCCTATGGGTTGTGTTTTTAAAAAATAGCATCAGACAGAGAAAGGCGGCTGCGACATAAGCCCTCTGACTCCAGGACGCAGAGTCGCACATGTCCCGTAGCCACAACAGGAAAGTGGATGCTGTGACAGACAGTGGTCCTTTGGATCTTAGGTCCTAAACACCACTGCGGTTTTATAAAGGCAGATTGGCATCACTCACGGCCAGTCACGTGCATTCTTACCCCTTCTTACCCCCTGTCTGTCTGGTGTATTGGCTCGGATACAATGCAGATGGACCACAGCTGCAGCAACAAACAGGGTGCCACAGGCGTCCTAAAATCATTTGCTCTCTCAGACAATTCAGAACAGTTTATCTTATTTAGACCTCAACAGTGAGTGATGAACATTTATAGGTTCGTATGATGGCGGAGAGATACAGCTCTATATTAGTATTGCAAACATTATTTAAAGTTCCTTAAATAGTTCACCTGGTGTGACTCTGAAACTCCTCACAGTGTTCCCCTCCCTGAGCCGGCTCTCCTTGCTGCTCTTCTCGTACAGTTTGAACATGTGTTGAGAGAGCGTATCCTCCTGCCTCGCGTTGCCTGAAAAGTAATCCAACGGGGAACGTGCGCCCCGTGTTTCCTGTGCGCCCCCAGAACTCACTTTACCCGCGCGGTGCGCCACAGCACCCAGGAAGCTGCCCCACACCAGGAACAGGTGCGCAAAAATCATCGTCAAAAACGGTAAAATCCAAGTCTGTCAGTGTGCAGAAAACTATCCGAGAGAAGATTTCTAGGTTGCGCGCAAACTTAAAGTAGGCTGTTTTTCTCACGTTCCAGTTTGTGGCACTCCAGCCACTCGGTGTGACTGAAGTCGTTCTGTCGAGGCAACAGTTGGAGCAGTTACTTTTACATGTGCGATTGTGAGCGCCAGGAGCTTAGTGAAGCTGTGGAGAGTCGCTGACGTATGTTCCTGCTCACAGCCAACGAGGTCTCAGTGGAGCGCAGCCACGAGCACAGGTCAGCGCGCACGAGCCTCCTCCCTCCTCTCGCTCCCGGCCATGATACAGTTAATGATGATGTGAGCAAGAAAAAGGCGGAAAATTAAGTGAGAATTACATTGATATAGGTCAGAGGGGTTTTTATAGAACGCAACGCATTTTAATACATAGTACAGAAACACCTCAATCTTTCCAATTCATTACATAACTTCCAGTAAGTGTTTTTGACATGGCCTCAATCACACATAATTAGCCAAGAAACACCATATGTAATAGTTTGCACAACCACCCAGGGGTTATTGTTAGTGCCATTTTTAGTGCATTTGAAACATTTTGTAGCCTATAGGTTTAAGAGAATAGTGTTACATGCAAAAATGTATAATGCAAGGTAAAAGGTATAGCATCAGATGGAGCCACTGTTTTTATGTCTATGGCTGTGAGTGCTTATGTCCCCACAAGGCGTTGTTTCAAGTGTCTCTGATGTCTACAGCCCTGTACCAACAATGCTTGTTTTGTGGAAGTGGTGGTCTCCAGCAGAGAAGTTGTAACTAGCTGGGCCTCTCGGGTCACTTTTGGCTCCTCTGCACACACACAGTCCTCTCTCTTTCTCTTTCACACGAACATGCCACATACGTGCACGAGCAGCCCAACATACAGAGGCAGCTCGTTTTCTATCCCTCCAGGGCCCCACAAGATACTCTTTCTCATGTGTACCTTTGCAGTGACAGGTCTTAAATCTGTGCTGTTCTCTGTATGTTTGTCACAGGAGACATGGTTTCTAGTGAATGGGAAAGTTAAGTTAACTTATGGACCAAACAGACTAATAATTACTGAGCAGGTATTGTAAGCTTAAGCATCAGTCCTATCCTCTTCCACATACAAAAACCCTTACAAATAGTTAGGATGCTTAAAAACAAAATGTATAAAACAACACTACAAAGAACATAAATGTAAAGATAAATTATTTACAATAAATGTTGTCAATAATTAGCCTGTTTGAAGGCTCTGTCTTTTGTTACTCTCATACATCTTTGTCAGCAGGGCAGTGCAGAAGTGTCCCCCTGCTGTTCTTTTTATGGCTATTGGAATTAGACACAGATTGTATTTTATGCAGTGGTTTTAATTGTGGTCTTTTTTACCAGGCTACTAGATATTTGCATACTGAGGACAAATAAGAGAGATTTCTGTTGCTTTCTGGAGAACGGTCACATAAAATGACCCCCATCTGTTTTTTTAGGTCAGTGTGAGATTATACCACAGTAATGACATCTGTAATACAGCCTCAGCTGTTGGGGAAAGCCTTTTCAGAAGAAAAACATTACACTTTGTTTGTTTTTGCATGCCACTTTGAATTATTTTCTTTAGTCACTTATATTATTGTATGTAACATTTTATTTTTTCTGTTTATCAGAAGCCTACATTTTTAGATTTTCACATAACTTTTACAAGAAATGGACAAAAAAGAAAGATAGCCTACTTGACACTGAACCTGGCTTGTCTAGAGATGATGACTGCATTCAACTGGTCAGCCACAAAAGACATCAATATGCAGCGATGTCAGCAACAGCTTTTACTCTAAGGAAATCCTAAAACTGTTATCGACAACTTTAATACTTGCAATGTATGACTTCATTTTATGGATATTGCAATGTGAAAAGTAAGGCAAGTTTCATAATTCTCAAATTAAATGTACCTTTTCATTCAGCTATCCAGGCTGTTGACTTTATGAAAATTATTCGAGAAAAACACATTCTTCTGTGCACCAGTGGAAAGATAAAGCCGTCATAAGTTGGTAGTTAAATGTGTGGGATGGAGTACTATTTGATTGCGCTCTTTTCAATAAAACCTCTTGTAAGTTGCTACTGCCCATTATCACAGTGGGGAGCAGTGAACCACAGCACCCGTATCAGGATACTGTGTTACAGGGGCTGTCGAGTGTAGTCTGTTCACCATGGAGGTCCCCTTTACCACAGCGTCCAAGCCAAACAAGAACCAACAGAACTGTGTGTGTGGCTCAAACTTCTGGAAATGCTCAGAGTTTAACACCTCTTACTTAGTACTTATTGCAGGGGGCCTTATATAGTCAGTCATGCAGTGTAGTTGGGCTGTGGTACGAATCCAACGTTGGCAGTTTACTGTGGCCAATCTAGTCCAAAATGAACAATGGTGCTTTAGGGGGGAACGACTAACTGGAAATGTTTTCAGCCCATAAAAAATAAAGACTGGGTCGTTGTGGCTAAATGTTGGTGTGTTGTGTAGTCTCCATGATGTTTACTGCTACTCTGAGTAACTTTCCTCGGGTCCTCTGAAATACTTTATGGGCAGCAAAAACAACAGGTCACATTCTAACACACAGAAGGTTAGCCGAGGTCACAAGAACATAGGTAAGGAAGATCTTGACCTCAAAATCTAAGCAGAGGATCTAGTTAAGTCATCAAAACATAGGTAAAAGCTGAGATGAATCACTGTTTTAAGGGCTTCCTATTTCAGGGGTACCTTCCTCTTTGAGTTATATTCTTATATTCTGTGAAGTATTTTGGTTTAATGAGGAAAAATAACAGGATAATGTAACTCTTTAAATTTTAAACATAAATAGACTTGAAAGCAATCTGTTATCTATAAAGGAAAGGAAAACATTCATTTTACCAGTTGGATCTGACCATAGTGTTAAAGGCACACTATGTGACTTCTCTGGAAGAGGGTCTGTTTTTCTCCATGGATTTTTTTTTTTCCTGAAATGTTCCACAGTATGGCAGTAAACATATCTTACATTTATTGATTTGGTTAAAAATACTTTGAAAATCATGCTTGCTTGTGTTGCCTCCACAGATCTGACCTGTATACAGACGTGGTGGCATCACCATAAAGATATATAAGTTTAATGTCATATTGTGGAACATTCCAGCCATATCTTCGCAAGCATGTAGCGTAAGCTCCTTTACCACCTTAAGAGGCCATTTTTACTGCCAGCACTTTAACTAGTACTTCCTACTCTTTCAAATACTCCTAAAATACTACCATTACTATATATATACATTTTCTTGCCACAAGTGTCATTAGTTGAGTATCATTTTGCTTCCAAATTAAGCTAATGTAGAGATCAGCTAAATTTACCTTGAGACAATCTGACCAACATGTTGTAAAAAAATAAATAAATAAAGACACGTCATCTTTTAGGTGAGTATTTGAGACGGTGTCAGTGTCTATGGAGACTGTAGTTATGCTGGGGGTGTGACTCTGTGACCTGTTCACATGGTTAATAAAACAGTCATGAAGCAGAGGAATGTTATGGTTTTTGTGTGAATGAACATGTGTGTGTGTGTGTGTGTGTGTGTGTGTATGTGTGTGATGTTGGGCCTCCTGCAATGACCCCACGGAGTGCACCATTCTGTTGGTAGACAAAGGGCCGGCTGTTCCCCCCATAATTCCAAAACTCATGCTCTGCTCTGACACTGCCAACCGCTTGCCGCCAAACTAACCAAATATTTCTCTTCCTCTGCTGAATTTGTCTCAATAAATAGTTTTGTGTTTTGGGATTTTCTTTCTCCTCTGGTTCTGTTCTGTAGATACGCACAGGTGGTCATGTAATCTGACTGCTCCAATCGGGAGAATGGGATGTTTTGTTTCAGGAGCGAGGCTGGAGAGCACCTCGTGTGACATCTTGACTTTTGTGTAGAAAAACATCCCACTCTATACCATATCTCAGAGGGAGTATTATTACACGTTGAGTTCACATTTGAGTGATTGGGATTATTTTAGCGTCACCTCTGTCTTTAGCCTGTGGCCACATACAGAAAACAGGGATTCTACCTATAACATATGTCCAATTCATTGCGAGCAGCTCTGAGCCGATCAGTGATTAAAGAAAAATAAATGGTTTCTGAGAATGGACTTTTGTCCACATCATTCAATGGTTCCATTATTCAGACACTGGTCACTTATAGTTCTGATTTTGCAGATTTCAAGTTATTCAAAATATAATTCAGTCATTTCTCTGTCGGAGAGAAGATATCAGCCAGTTCATTCATTAATCCATAAGGCACAGCATTCAAAGGTTAAAGTACTAAGGAAACTTAAGAAAACATAGTAGCATCAACTGTTAATGTGCATGTGTTAATGTTTTTTCATGTATGTACCCTCGTTGGATGTAGAGCCTATGTCAGTAATAACAGTATATTTTATGAAAATGGAAAGAGACACTCATAAGTTCTACTTCTTTTGAGCATTGTATAGCATTGCCTACATGTATGTAATTAATGTTTGTTTCACTTTCTTACATCAAACAGCTCAACAGCTGAAAGCACAAATGCACTTTTTTGTATTAAACGGCACTGATTAAATTGACTAAGTGGAGGGAACTCATATTGAAAGCCAATTTTTAATAAAAGAAAATAAAGTTGCAAGTTTGCGAAGTCTTAATTATTGTTTGAGCAGTTGAAGTTTTTTGTACAGATTCTGTACTGTCTGTCACATTGATGTCTTTTGCATGGTGTGAAGAGAGTGGTTGGGTGCAGGTATCTGAAGTGTCCAGTGTTGGCTGTGTGACTTGTTCACTGACTGCTGCTGTTGTGTTTACTCTGACGCCCCTGATATTCATTACAGACCGAGCTGTGTGCGGCTGCTTCCTGAACATGTCCCGTTAGACCACTGACCCTCACCTCTGTAACCCTCCTGCCACCCCCATATACTCCCCTCCAAAACCCCATTGGGCCAGAGCCAGGATACAGGAAAT